AACCTTTGTGCGGAAGAATGATTGAATGTACTTAAATTTCCTTTTATAAACGCCTCACTGAAATATAAAAAATTCCCCGAGACTTCCATGAATTCCAGAAATATCCGACAATGACCGATTCAAAGACTAATTGTTTTACTGTATAAATGTTTTAGTCACGCTTACAAAGACTACTTTTTACAATCTTTTCGGTTTCTCTTCGGCGAGGGCTGTCTTTCATAATGTTGAAACTCGTACGTCGAGTTTTCTAATTTAATTAGTTAAGGTTAATCAACGGTGTGTTTTGAGAACTTTATCGCTCCAGAATGTCCGATATCTGTCCACAGGCAAGTATTTTGCCCAAAACATTTTTACCTGTATACAGGTGAAAAAGACCTAGTCGTCATCGGATCCGGACCCGGTGGATATGTCGCTGCGATCAAAGCCGCACAACTCGGCATGAAAGTATTTTCTATTTTGTTTTCAAACTCTACATTAGACCGTGTGCGTCGAAAAATATCCAACTTATGGTGGCACCTGTTTAAATGTTGGTTGTATACCCAGCAAGTCTCTGCTCAATAATTCGCATTACTATCACATGTGCAAGTCGAAGGACATGGAAAATCGTGGTGTTGACTTAGGGAACGTTAGTCTTAATCTCGAGCGCTTGATGGCTGCCAAACAAAAGGCCGTATCCACGCTCACGGGAGGCATTGTCCACTTGTTCAAAAGCAATAAGGTAATCGACTTTTGTATCTATATTCTTGGCCCTGCATTCAAGGGGGGGCAGTCCTCATAACTTCTTTTTGCGTTCCTTTTGCTGATCAAGTTATCACTTGTCCGACTGTTTCACCCTTTGTTTAAGCGTCTGGTTAGCGCAGGTTCTGTGAGAAATAATGGAATAATCCACGTACTATGAGCTCGATTCGCGGTGCAGACTATAGTGTTTGTATGCTATAGTAACAAACTTAAAGCCTTGCTAACCATCCGCTTTTTTTCATTATTCTTCGTTCTGTTTTTTGTTACATTCAGACAAGTTAACCTTTGAGTTTTGGTCAATACTTTCTTAACCAACTTATAGTACTTACAAGGAGTTGTATATCGAATCGCCAGAAGAAGTGTCATTCAAAAACTTTTTTGATCTTAATGAAAGCTCTTCGTCAAAAGACAACTTTTCGTTTTGCCTTTCCATGCCTTCTCCTACCCCCATGGTTTGCTTATTCACCCATAAAGGCCAGTGACCCTCGTAATCAACTTTTCAGCTAAGACTAAAATCTAATTTTTTTTGCCACGTTTTTGCTGTTACCATAGGTGGAGGGTATCCAGGGTGTCGGTACGATCGCTAGTCCGAATGAGGTTGTTGTGAAAAAACCTGACGGAAGTGAAGAGAGGATTTCGACAAAAAACATATTGATCGCCACTGGGAGTGATGTTACTCCGTTTCCTGGCATTGAAGTTAATGAAAAAACTATTGTAACCAGCACTGGGGCTCTCTCTCTTCAAAAGGTCCCCAAACACCTCGTTGTCATTGGCGCCGGCGTCATTGGTGTTGAACTAGGTTCGGTTTGGAAGCGCTTGGGAGCTCAGGTAACCCACAATCTGTAATTTAAGATAATTATCTCAACCAACAATTTTCTATTTTCCGA